CGTTTTATTATGGATTGGCTGTCAGGCTGCACGGGTAACGTGACTTTCATACTTATACCTAAGTGAGGAAATAAATTTGTTGAATGCGATGAATGAGTGGTAGCGCAATTCACGATGAAATAGTATAATTTAACTAATCGAGTGGAACGTGATAATATCCTGCAAGTAACAAAACCTTAGTCCTTTCAGGGGCTACAATATGAATGGAAGCTTTTTATACGTCATACAAACTGACGGTAACACTAAGATCTATATAACATCAACACTTGTAGTCGTTTCGTTCTTACAAAGTTCAAAGTACATTAGAGTACATAAAGTATAGAGACCTCTTCTTACTCAAAAGTATAGTTTTATACTCTTAAGAAAATATATTAATCTTTTTAACTGAGTGAATTACAGAATTTGTCAATAACCCTATTGGTAGTGTAACCATATACATTTTTTAGGAAAACATCCTTTTGGGGTTATTACTTCTCACGTCCTGAAATTAATCGGTCAATCAATCAAATTAGTCGTAAGTGAAGTCTTTACCGCTTCATTATTATGTCAAAGATTCTCATGTTGAAACGTCTTACTGTGTGCTTCTGCTATATGTTTATTGATAGGACAAAGTAATACATTTGTGACGATTTTTTTGTACTAAAAAATATCCATTATCATTTGCAACTTTATAAAAGATGACAAAGATACTTTGGAGATAAAAAAATTAATTAATAAGCGACATTCAAATCGTTGAGGATTAACGTATTCGTACGTGTATTATAGGGACAGATGATATGACAAACTGTGAAATGCCTAACTATCTCGAAAAAAAAATATATTTTTTTTATTAATTTGGATGAATTTTGAATTGTCATCCAGAAATAAGTAGTGATAAACATCAATAGTGGCATCTACAGTATATAATATACTGCCTGTTTTTAAATTTGTTATGGCACATCATCAGCTGAAAAACGCATATTGGTATCAGTATTAAATTAATCATCAACGATCGAACAGAGCCCATCACCCACGCCATCAACAAGCGACTCATATCGAAGCTCCCCTTTATGGGAACCAAGTATATATATACACCCATAATATGATCCAGGGACCGTATGGTTTCGTTAGTTTGTCGAAGGAGTGGCATAACATCCAAAGCTCGTTTACGTGTACCATGTACCTTCGGTAATATGCAATTCCACCCGAGTGCATTACACGTGCCTGCGTGGGACGTCCACATTACACCAGCCAACTTTGTCGATTCGAAGATCGTGAAAGTCGATACCCTGACGGCTTTTTAATAATAGCCATTGGCAAGTGCAGAGAGATCTCGGGCTGGGCTCGGTGATGGATGCAAATTTTCCCTCGTCCGGTCCCTCGGCTTGATTGAGTTGTTTGTTGTAAAGACATGGCATTACCGACGATATTCGCACCAAGCTTTGGTTCCTGGGATTGGAGGAAAAAGGAATATTTTTTGGTTAATGGCTCCTTTCGTCACGGTTTTTGTAAAAATAACAATTCTATTTCAGTAGTGTGCCATTCAGTTGGGGTAGTGGCTACATCACAAGGTCACAAGAAAAAAAAAGCAAATGCTTGATGTACACAAAAAATCGAGGATAAAATAGAGAGCACTCACGAAGAACCAATTACGAAAATGAATCCATTTCCCTGTGGTATAGCCCAAATGATATATAAGTATCACGTAAACAGCCAGAGAGCCCGAAAACACGCGTGGCCCACCCGGGCAATTGATTCATCGACGCGAGCAGCTGCTCTGCATCTTGGCTTTTCCGGGGCGTTGCGTATATCATCGCGGGGACCGGAAAAAGAGGATAGCGATGAAAAAGTTCGATAACCGCGCGTGTTTGGAGATGGCATTTGTGAGTCGGAGGGGCCTCTGAGCATAGAGTGGCGAGAATATCGCTTGCATAACGCCCGCCCCTGGGACGATTAACGCGCGATTCGATAGCCCCTCCATGTGGATGCATCAGCTGCTGTTGCACCCCAAATGCGTTTATTAATGATAGTCCTGTATAAGGGTGGGCGTCGGGCGTTCGAAGTATTATATGTTATTGTATCCAATAAACGTCAACGCGGTGTGTTTTGTGTACCATTCCCACGAGAATCGATGTTTTCGATTGGTACACTGCGAGGGCAGGACTCACGAGAGCGTGCTGTCCAGTTATTATGCGTATGCGATTGTTATCGTTTCCGACCTATTAGATTGTGATCAATCAAAGCTGCAGACGCTCATATGGGAAACGTGTTGAATTTTATTGTCTGAGGTCGATGTGAGGATGGATACATTCATGATTCTTGTTTATTTTCTATCTCCATAATTTTTTTTTCTTTTCTTTCCGTAGATTCCGAAAAAATTATTCTTACTACTGTTTATAAAACAGTGTATCACTAAAGTCTTCTTTTAAAAAAGGAATGTAGGTATATGAAAAGGGATAATATTTAGAGGGAAGGCAATGTTCAGATCTTTGTTCTATAATTTATTAGATAAGGCCAGACTGAGAAACTTTAAGTTTTACTGTCTTTGTTTTTAAGCTGTTGCATTTATTAACAATAGCATTTTTACTGCAAACAAAAGAATACATTTAAAATATTGACTTGATTTGGTCCACTTTAGTGCTGGCACTATTGTTTTAAATTAATTTTTTATTCATATCAAACATAAGTTTACTACAGACTAGATCATAATTTATGATTTATATGACGTAAAATGTTTCATAGCATCACGATGAAAAATTTATTATCATCCATACCCATACAAACATCCACATAATTTTTTTTTTTTTTTTTGTATTACTATCTGGAAACGTTTCTTTTTGAAAAATTCTTTGAAAATTTAAAGAATATCGATTTTCATGAATGAAAAAAATTAATCATAAACCAGACAACTGAAAAAAGTTTCCTTGAGTTAAAGTTAGTAAGAGAATTCTTAGTCAAGTCTGTTTTCCTACATACACTTACCCGCAAGTAGAGATAGAAATTTTTTCCTTTGATTCTGTAATTGTAAAAAACATGATATTCACCCAATTACCAAGCTACTTTTATGAAGAAGTAAAAATAATGGTACACGACACTTTTCGATAAGAATTTAATACTAAAGCACTTAGGTATCAGTGAGATAATTGTGGCAAAATGTACTTATCACGATACTCCTTAAAGGACTACTCGACGATCCAATGACATTTTTTTTATCATAAAAAACCACAAAAAAAATGAAAATCATCACTCAACCAGTAGCTCATACCAACATCTAACAGGCGATGATTAAATTACAATAGCACCGAAAAAAAAGGGCAGCGGAAAAAATAAAATAAAAAGTATTGTGGGACCATCGGCAACACGTCGAAGAGAATCAATGGACTCATTGGATGAAAGCCGGTCCAACGCATTACAAACTCTAGCACGAAGAAACCTCGCCCACATAAATTGATTTTCTTTTTTCTTTCTCTTTTGTTTTCTGTTGTTTTCTTCCCAAAAAAAAAGAGTTTGCAATCAGTAGATCAGCCGTGGAGGTGCGTGTCCTTTACTGAAGTAGAAAGGGCATATAACGACGTTCGTGCAACTATTTTACTTTGCAATGATGAGTAGTTTGGGATGGCTCAACTAAGGCGATCATTCATTCATCGTGGCTGTCGCAAACTCCTGTATACATGAATTATAAAAAAATGACTCTTAACGTGACGTGCTCCGGATAAGTCATATGTCTGTCTCTGGTGAGTCGTGATTAGGACTCATTCGCTAATTTTCTTTTTTCTTTTTTTTTTTTTTTTAAATAAATACCTACTGAGGTACGTAGCGTATTTATTTTGTGGCTTTATTGTAAACTAGTTCATCTAGCCTTGGTACGGTAAGGTACATTTTACATTAATATTTGTTACATATATTACAACAGTATTGATTACATATTACAATTATTAGTTACATTTTCACATTGTTGGATACGGTTGTTAGTTTCTCGTTGGTACGGTGATGATGTTCACTTATACCACCTCGAGGGCGAATGATCTAAAGCGGTATGACCTTTTTGCTGCGAGTAGGTCGGCCCCCCTGCCCAGCATTTCACGGGGAGCATACTTGCTCGGGAGAGTCGCACTGGCCAGGAACCAAACCCACAGTCGCCCGCGGGCCGTCCTATAAACCAGCCGACCAAGCCACCGCGCGCTCGCTCATTCGCTAATACTGGTCTTGACTTTTTTTTTGTTTCCGCTATGCCCAACAAAAATCTTCATTGTCTGTAATGTTGTAAAGGTATAGTAATTTTTAGATAGCCTTCAATCGTAAGGATGGATGGCCTAAGTTAAAATATCGATGTTCACTGTGATCCAATTATATACTTACAATATTACAGCAATATTAACACACGATATCTTTATCACTGATTAAATAACAGTTTTCTCGGTGGATTTTAGCTTGAAATAAAAGCTTAGAACCATTTACCAAAGCACCAACATTCATAAGACTAGTTGGCGATATTTTATGACTTGGTTCTGGCAACATTCCGTTTAGGTTGTTAATTAGTCAGCCAAACGATATTTCATTGGTTTTATATAGACAGCAATTACAAAACGCAGCCAATACTGTTAACGTAGCAATAATATTTTCCTGTGATTGTACTTTATGAGATTTCTCAAAATAATCAATCACAACGAGAGCAGCACCGTTAATGCGTATAAAAAATACTGTTATTAATAAAGAGCATACTATGACTACCAATTCCAAGATGTATTGCTCCTTGGATTATAATGAAAAAATACAACTAAATAATTATGTTTATTGCTGATTCTTAACAAGGAAATAACACTGTAAGAATTCTGAGATTCGGTAAGAATTGAAATTGTATATTAAGTATGAATACCCAGAAGACAGTTAACACACCATCACAAAAGACACGTTTACAAAAGTATCAAGTAGTATATAGTTTTTGTTTGGTTTATTTATGTGAAATACCATACTACTCAACGAATTCAATTTAAACTTAAAGGTGGACATTTTACATACACTTATTTGGCAAGTTTTCGCAACTCGTACACATTAAGATGTGAAAGAATTTTTCCAGTGAGTGTTTCAGGCAAAATTACAAAATCTAACGGCTCTAAAGTCTCCTCCAACAATTCATTCAAACACTTCTTTGCAGTATCCAAAATATGCCTCTTCTCTAATGCTAGCTCAATACGAGTTTTTAATACAAATTCATCATAAGATAATTTTTCTTTTTTTTGGAGTGACGAGTACAATTTTGTACAAGAATCAAGGTATTCCTCATTTTTTAGTAATTTCACAAATGCATCGAACCGCATTGTAATCATTTTGAAAATAGAGATCAACGAAACATCTTGATCATTGGTCATTGAAATCTTCTTCAATTCATCCAGCTTTTTGTGACAATCAGAAAGCATTTTGGATATGTTATACTCAGACTCGAATAATCTTCTTGCAGGTATCAAGTCCGGATGAACATCGTTCGTTTGTAAGCAAATAGCGTAGTAAAAAATGCGCAGGTACAGACGGTTATCCGTTAAAGGTATTAATTCAGCAATATTAACAAGTATTCGATCCATAGCTACACTGTCATTGAATTGCCAAAATAAACATAATATCCTTTCGTAACATTTCGTATATAACCACTGAGAAGTAAAAGGTGTCTCGTAAGAAAAACGTCTGTCAACAAGTATATACAACTTCATAAATTAAGAAATTAAATGTTAAAGACTATTTATTCAACGACAAACCTATCAGTACGGAAGCTGGCCTCCAGGAGGATCTTGAGAATTCTATGGTTATTTTTATCCGCAGCAGTAAAAAGTGCTCTTGTAACATTCTGAGGATAACTTTGTATCTCCTCGTCAATACCAGGAGTTCCAAGTAATTGAATGACAACCTTTTCATCGCCCAAAGCCACAGCAGCATTTAGTTCTTGCAATCCAAGTTTATTCTGATTTCTCAAGATGCCTGAGTCGTCAACTGCTGTTATTTTTTTAAGCAACAATTTTGCTAGATTTTCGTCCTTTAACTTTTGAGCTAACAAAAGCGGTGTTTCACCGATGAAGTTGCGTTTACGCAAATTTCTGCCTGTAATGATCCATAATAATTGTTCAGTTGAAGTTAAAAAAATACTATCATTCTTTAGAGCCATTGGCCGTGTACATAAGACATTATGAATACGCCAATTGTTTATGATGATAATTCATACGCATATTTATTTTTTAGTTATATAACATTTTATAAGGTTTTCTAAACAATATTTATCAAAAAGTTCATTTCAAAATAAATATTCTGAAAAATCATTTTTTCGTTTGTTCATGTTTGGACATTGAAACGAGTAAAAAGTAATCAGACTGCAATAAAGCGTAAAGTTAACTGTAAGCTATTTGTTTGCCTTAAGTAAAACAAAAATATGTAGCGGAGAAATTTTTTCGGTCACATGCATTTATAAGAAGCTTTGTATGAATTAATTTGAGAAATTTATAAATTGAATAATTTCAATTTTTTAATAACTATTTTACATTGGACACTTAAGCTTGTAATTTGTTTTTGAAACACGCAATCAAAAATATGTCTAAGAAAATGAGATAGAATAATTAATAAAGTATTAATTAAATAAATAGTTAAAATCAATATATTTACCATGTTCAATAAGCAGCTCAGCGATGCTGTTATGCTTTTTACAAAGTAATTCTTCATAATAGTTGCGGAGTTTTTGTAATACTAAATGCAATGGTGTATCTCCGAAGACATTCGTAATATCAACGTCAGCTCCTTCTTCAATAAAAATTTTAACTGCTACATCGTCTCCTCCAAGAGCAGCTCGATGCAAATTCCAGTTATAATTTCTATAATTAATATCACTTCTCAGCGTATGTAGCACATCATTAAGAAAGCATTTTTTGTGAGTTTTGGTGTGATATTCATTTTCCAGATAGTAGAGTAGAGCTTCGCGTGAAAAATTGTTGTGAATGTCAAGTGTAGCACCGTGGATTAAAACATAGTTTATAACCTTCTCGTCACGTTGATTTGAGCATTCAAAGCACGCCGTATGTAAACTTTCGTAAATATTTTGGCTCTTTGCACTTAGAGAATAAAAGAATTGAATTAACAAAAGTACGTGATGGTTATGATATTCAAGTGTAACATACTTACCCAAATGATACAAGTAATCGTACAGAATCGAAACTGCAACGTACAATAGCAATATCTAATGGTGTCTGATCACCGTAATTACCAATATTAATATCTGCTTTGTGTGTTACCAACAATTCTATAATGACAATGTTATCTTCTTCTACCGCCAAATGTAAGGCTGTTATGTCTAATACATTCATAACATTTGGGTCAGCTTTATGGTCCAGTAGAAATTTTATTTTGCTTATCTATGGATTTAAACATTTAAAATGTTAATGTGGATATTAAAAAAAAAAATAAGTACCATACCTGTTGGCTTTTAACCGCAAAATGTAGTGGAGAATCAAAAAAAAGTCCTCTTCGTGCATTTACATCTGCCCCATAGTGGAGAAGTAACGCCATTATTGATAGTTCATCGTCAGCTTCTACGGGATCAAGTTCAGAAATACGTTCGCAGACTAAATGCAGAGGAGTTCGGTAGTTGATATTCCAATCATTAACACAAGATGGATTCCTAAGTAGAACATGAGGAAATTAGGAAAGAATTTTACAAGTGTTGCTATAATCTTGAAGAAAAACTACCTTTGTAAAATTTCATGTACAACAGCAACGTCACCAGAACTAACTGCATCGTGAATGCTTTGTTTATTTTGATTATTCATTATTACATTTATTTTTCTTATTAACACAGTGAAAAAACAGTAAAACTGGATGATAATTAATAAAATTAAGAAATAAGTGTTATTATATGTTTTTGTATCGGATTTTGAAGCGTGACTAAATACGTTGTCGAAATTTTGTAATGTATTTTCAATTTATTAACAGTAACGGTGTCTAGAATAGCAGTTTATGTAACACTGAAAAATGTTTGAGGTGACGTCTTGGTCACTGGCCACTGACAGTTTTAACAGATAAGACTTTGGAGGTATTGGAAAATCTACTATCACCACAAATGGCTCTCGTAATGTGATGACGGACATTACTTGTGCGCACGACTAAAGCATATGTGACTTATACACACATAAAGTAGAATGTAAGGGTATGTGACTACGATTACTGTAACGAAGTTAATTAGGTATTGTGCGATTTACATTTTTTTTACGCTCCGATGTATGTAAAGGAACAATTAGTTACTACTTTACACTATCGTGATTTTCGTCGGAAATTACAAGTTTGCTCTCAAGATTTGGTACTCCCTTATCTCTATATCATACATAACGTTTTGCTAAAGTCCTGATACATAAGTTTTTGAACAATCTTTGTAAACATTTAATTTAATTAGTGCTGGACCTAATATTCTTTAAAAGAGAAAGGCTATATTTACTTGGCCCAAATTTTAATTTAATTAATAGTGCGGTACTACCACTTGCAAGATAATAGTTTGTGTTTCAGTAGTAAATAACGCGCCTCCAGGAGGATCTTGAGAATTCTATGGTTATTTTTATCCGCAGCAGTAAAAAGTGCTCTTGTAACATTCTGAGGATAACTTTGTATCTCTGTATTACTATCTGGAAACGTTTCTTTTTGAAAAATTCTTTGAAAATTTAAAGAATATCGATTTTCATGAATGAAAAAAATTAATCATAAACCAGACNCACCAATATATTCGTCCAAATAAAGTTTTAGGATTCTGTATCAAAACTGTATCGTGAAAATTTGATACAAATTGATAGTTTGTTCGAACCGCAATACGCGTAAAGTCATCAGCCCTTACTACTGAAGCACCAAACATTCTCGTTTAACTAAAAGCGTATTGGTTAACAACGTGTAAAAACTCTGATTAAAAAAATTTAACGTGGAATAATTGCTGAGCTTACCTTTCAGAGCATAGTGTAAAACACATCTCTTTCAACAACCTTTTCGTTGTTTTCCTTGCAATAGTAAATTGCGCAACTCAATGGCGAGAAATAATAGTCTGGCAAACATAATGATACAACCACTGCTTCCCAAAACTTTCAATTTATTTGTTGCAGTCCTTCGTCTGTATATACTTGATTTTAAATTCTCTCGATTTTTGGTGCTGTATTGACACGTGAAATAGAAAAAATAACAACGAGACCGTAAAAAAAAGAAAATACGAACTGGGTGAGTTTTCGTAACGAGTGCGTTATTACATTGTCTCACTGTAGATGTATGGCATGTGGAAGAAGTTCGTTCAAGAATCCGCGTCTGATTTACCAATTTGGTGGATTCGCTTTATCTTTGGAGTTGCCGTGGTGCAACGCTACAACTCACAGGACGGATCATTTGAAGTAGACACATTTTAATTAGTGCTATTTTATTGGTTTTAGTTATTATTATTATTTGCCACTTGTTATATAATAATTTCCTTCAGTATAACTAGCAGTGAAGATTTTTTTGTGCAGGTACTGCTAATAATCTAAGTTTAGCATAGTATGGATAATAATTTATGCTTTTTTTGTTTCAGCTAAAACAGAAAGTAAGAACCATGTGCATCTGTCAAATCTTATTTTACTACTTTAAAAATAAAGAAAGGACCTTTATATCAACTTTGGGAGCTGTTCACACTCGGGATAAGACAATTGTGAGTTTTTAGCATGTGTTGATAGTAATGTTAAAGAGTTAACAGGATAATCGAAACGAAGATTCAATAATTATTGATTTATGTCAAAACTCTATTTGTATATATATGTTATAAATTTCGATGAAAAGTACTATATTTGGATTTTTTAATGATTAAAATTACTGATTTTGTACATTAATGTCAGACCAACTATGTTTTTTTTATTATTTGCTGTAGCCTAACTACATTATTATTACCAATGAGTCCTACGTTTTCAAAGAGCAGAAAAAAGTCCATAAGAAATGTATTAAGGACCATTTTAAAGGTCGCATAAGGGTACGACAAAAACCATCCCTCAATGTGTTATATCAAAGCCTGATTTTTGTGAACATGACATTGTGACATATTATTCTTGTTACTGTAACATTTTTTACTGGAAAATTTCTGTCATTGTTACAAAAATGTAGCTTCAATATAGCAATATATTACCACCACATGTGAAAAATAAAATAAACCATCACGAGAACCAATAAAATTTTTCTAATTTTAAATTTGCAACAACAGCTGTAATAAGGAAAAAAAAAAAGGGAAGATCGTACCTTTTTTTAATCCTTGGATCAGCCCTTCTGTTTTTTGGTATTTAATGTATTCGTACATGACACACATAAAAGCTACGACACTAGGGTTGGCTGTAGTAGTAATTAGTCAGTTTGATGCTTTGACTAGAGGGGAACAAAGATAGATAATTGAGGCTACGAACGTCAATTAAAAAAAAACGCACTTGAGAATTGTAAAAGTGCCGGAATTCAAATTTAATAGCGAAAAGAGAGCTTTCCCGTATTTTCTCTTATTTTTGTCTTTTATGATTATTGCGTTGCGGGAGCACGTCACACATGTGATTTTTATGGCCATTGCGAACATGGAATCGTAATTTTTTTTGTCTTACAAGTAGGTTTATGGATGATGGACAGGTAATTACAGCTTAATTTTCTACATTTTACACGAGAGTGTAAGATGTGAAGGATCTTTTTTTTTAGGGATCGGATTGAGGATTTATTATTATAGTATTAGAGATCATCGCGTAAAATCTAGTTTCACATAAAACGGTGACTCTATAGAATTCCGCTTAGTAATGTAACGAGTGGAATTGATACACGTTTTTTAGTTAAAATTTCTTTGATTTTGAAATTTTTGGTGGAGATAGGTTTTTGAAGAATATGAGTCACTGACATACATTTACAGTCTCGTATCATTACATTTACATACAAACTTATAGAAGGGGTTTTGTAAAACGATATTTTACATACGTCTGTTAAAAAAAATTTTTTTACAGTCAAAACTACTTTAAATAAAGTATTCAATTTAATTAGACGCTTCTTTTATAATTAACAAAAACCAACAAAAAAAAACGATGCCAGTTACGACGATGAGAATAAACTCGTCTTTGTATTACCCTCTTTACAAGGCTAATAATCATCAATGGCTTTGAAACTCGAATTTGCAGGAAGGTAAGATAATTAAAATACATGATGTGCAATCTCAAAAGGGGATGGTAGAACAATTACGTGGGTAATCCTGACGAACAGGACATCCGGACTAGTACATGTCTGTAACACAATGGCACCACCGTGCTGTACAAGCAGCGGAGCACAATCCAAGTGTAAGGAATTCTACTGTCAATCCAGGGCCAGTGACTAATGGAATTATCTCTTATTTCCATCCATTTTATTGTCACAAATGATATTCTCATTCGTTTCTCTCTTAGCTATTATCCATTCTACAGTACAAACATTTAATTCAAAATTTCACACGGAAAATTTTTAAAGCGGTTATATGAATATCGAGCTGGTTGCTAAATTATAGGTTTGTTTACGATTACCCTATAATTGAAACGCATCAATAATCATTACAAATTTTACATTCTTTCCGTACAATCGAGACAAAACTCAAGGTTTCCTGTGCCTCGTATCCCGCGAAGGCTTAAATAATGCACGCGAAAGTTGCAGGAGCTGCATCGCGAACGGAGGTAGGCTCTCTTATTTAGAAAATTTATGCGCAAGAGTGTGGGCACAAAAAAGATGAGGGGGGGGGGGGACGGTCCAAAGAAACGCTTCTGTGTACGAACGCACTGTCGGTGGTTGCGGAGCGGCCAAGTGTCAACACAGACGCAGGAGCTCTCCCGAGCAATATTTTATGCTCCCTTCGAAGGAGGAACCCAAAAGGAATCAATTAAATGCACGATTATCTTCTTATTGATAATTTTTCACTCGCGTAATTTACGACTGGTATTGGAATTAAAGGAACGCTCGCGGTCGAAGTTATTTGAGGGAGAGAGGGAAAAAAGGCGCATACGCACGCAGATGCGACGAGAAAGGGGGATAATAAGGTACAAAGTGAAGAAAAAAAAAAAAAAGAAAGAAAGAAAAAAATATTAACGCAAAAGGAAAGAGAGAGGGAGAGGCGGGTTGTGCGCGAAAGAAGAAAGGAGATGAGGGGCCCGTAACTTGGGGTATTACAATAATAAAGAGCCAAGTTAGGCGTCCTCTTATTTCTACCTCTCGCGTCTTTTTTCGCCTCCAGCGGCAGCGCGCTGGCACATACGTGTATACATTATAACCCTCGACGTCTTCGTCTCTCGCTCTTTCGGTAAATTTTCATAATCCGACAGCTTGCTTCGCGGCTTTGGCCAATGAAAAACTCGGTTTTACGCCTCTCGGCTACGGCGAGCGTTCATCGACTCAAACCGTTTTTTTCTCTCATTTTTGCCTTTTTTTTTGTACAAAACTCCTCGAGGAAGAAAGTCCACTTTACTCTTCGCTCTTTTTTTTTTTTTTTTTTTTCAAAAACGTGATTTGTGAGAATATACGATGGTATTGAAAAAAAAGAAAAAAAAAAAAAAAAATCTAATGAAGAAAATAACTAGACTTCAGACTACATCGCGCCATCGTTATTTATGTATCATCGCGCTTCTCGATAAAAACTTCAAAGTAGGTGTGCAGTGTTTTAAAAATACGCCATAAATCACCTTTAATGCACACGCGATAAATTCATGTCCCAATGAGGGATGCGAAAACAGTCTAAGACAAGAAAACACTGGCAAGAAACGTATGCAGGTAGCTATGAAAAAAAGCTCTCACT